GGCCCCTCCCCCCCCCCCCCCCCTCTGCACAAGCCCCTTCCTCTTCCCCCTGCACTCCTCCTCTACACAAGCCCCTTTCTCTCCCACCCCGTCCCCTACCTTCTGCCTTCCACTTTGCAGGGCCGGAGTCTGTGCTTGGGCCCCAGACTCTGAACTCAAAGCTAGGCCATGCGATACAATGTGGTGCTGAAGAGTTTTAAAGTGCCGGGCCGTGATGTCACATCACGTCACGCCCGGGCGTCCTCCCCGCTCACCTGCAAACACTATGCACAGCAGCAGCCGGCGGCGGTGGCGAGGGGGTCGCACTGAGAGCAACACACGGCAAGGACGGTCCGGGGCCGGAGAACGCACGGTGGTGGGGCTGGCGGGGTGGAGCCGGGGCCCCCTCCAGGCAGAGCCAGGGGAGAGACCCAGCTCCACATATTGCTGGAGCAGGGCCCCAGGCTCTGAATATTAACTCACCACCCATGGCGCCCGGCACACTTCCGGGTTCAGGGCACGGGACCCCATTCGGGGGAATTGGGCAAATCGGCCTAAGGCCGTCCCTGAGTGGGGATTTGCCCTGAGGGGCTCCCTTAGCAAGGACCAGAATGACACAGGGAGGGGGAGAACCCAAGAGCAAGGGACAGCTCCCCAAGGAGGACCCCCAAAAAGGGAGAAACTCTGCCCTTTGGGGTGCTTTTAAGGACTAGCAGGCTGTCTTATGCCCTCAGCTGCGGGAGGTACTGAGACATCAGGGTAGGGGACCCCGAGAGGGCTGGGGCAGGCCCAAACCTAGCAGTTCATAATGGGGGAAGGTATGTGATAGACTGCTGGCTAAGCCAGAGCTCTGCCACTACAGCCTGGATGAAAAGGTCAGTTAGAACCAGCTGAGCAAGCTCAAGTCTGAAGGGCTATTAGAAGCAGCCATGGACCTCATTAGCCACAGGGCTATATAAGGCAGCTAGAGGGGAAGTGAAAATAGGAGTAAGGGGAGCATGGAACCAGCATGTGGCTGAGTGTGCTCCCCAAACCAGAAGGAGAGGCTGGCTGAGTTTTCTGCAATCTACAACTGTAAATAGGAGGTGGTGGGAAGCTGGCAATAAAAGGCACAGGTGACTGCACCAGAAAGGGTCTGTGGCTGATTTGTGGACCCAAGGCAAGGGGCCTGAGCAAGGACCCTGCCACAGCACCATTAACTTCAATCTGGAGCTGGATGAGACCTGTACTTCTGACTTCTTCATCCCAAGTCTGAGTCCTGTAGTTGCTGCTTATCTGTGAGAGTGAGACCCAGCAATATCATTAGTGCCCAACTGTATGAGCAGCATGGGGTGGCAGTGAAAGGGACAGATGTTTCAGCAACTTATCTGTAGACGTGCTGGAGACAGGCAGTACATCTCCTGAGACATCTTTTCAAACAAAGAGAAGCATTTATTTTTAAATGAAAAAGTTGGTTTATTCCCAAAATCAGACTAGCATCATATTTAATATATGCAATTATGATTAAGTCCCATTAGACACTACATATTTTTCCAAAAGCTAGAATGTGTCCAATTGTCTAAAATTAATGACAAAGTAATTCAAAATTGTATTTGTAGGTTTTCAGATACTTGAAGCTATGCTAAAATTCAAAATATTATTTTTTAACTGATTTATATGAGTTACACTTCTGCAAAGTTGTGTGTGTTAGAAGTGACTCTTCAGAGAAAATTAAGGTAAATCAGGATTGGCTATGTAGGCCCAGTATCTAAACACTTAGGTGCTCAAACCTTATATAGTGGATTCCTATGTGCTGCAGCAAATCAGGTTTTCTAGAATTAGAAATACATGAATTCCACCTTATTTATAAAAACATTAAGTGATGTATTAAAACCCAGGTCTTATGATTTATAGCTAGAGCGCTAGCAGGATTTCTAAAGGTGATATCATATGCTGTCAGCTCTGCAAGTCCCCACCTATGCAATTCCCTGCCTCCATGTACTTCGAATTTGTTCGTTATTGGATAATCTTACCTGAAACAACCTTTTTTTTTTTTTTAAATGAAGGCAACAATAGCCAGTTATTGTTACAGACCAAGGCCCCTGTCCTGCAATGAGCACAGGCAAACACTGAAACCACCAGAGCCCCACTGATGTCAGTGGGGCTACCCATGGCACAGGGATCTACCTGCACAAAGTTCATTACACGATTGGGGTTTCAGAGAATGTAAGGTCCCACATCTTGCAGTTGAGGGTGCACAGGCGCATCAACATGGAGCTTCCATGAGGGTGAGCCTGCAGGCAGCCAATTGCAGGAAGAGGGCCTACACTTCTGACACAACTAGTAGTGTATCAGAGTACTATATTTATAGTCATGCTGATGCGTCTTGGATTGGTCCCTGGACAGCGACGGCTTCAATCTCAACTTGTGCGTCCTGTGGGGAAAAATGTTGAACAGAACAGGAATTTACTACTTTTACATGTTATTAAGCATAGTACCTTTTAGGAAACCCACACACCTTAGAAAGCCACAGATTTGCTATTACAAATTAAGATTTTTTTTAAAGTAATTTCTTAAGCAGTGTTAATGAAAATGGTGAAGGCTTTCTTTTAATCATTCTTCTACATATAATAATCCCTTATCCCTGGAGAAATGTTTCCTCCCCTTCAATATTTCAATACTTTGTGTGTGGTATGAACTAGAGATGTAAAAGAGCAGTTGATCAGTCAATTATCCGATAAGCCTCGGCTTACTGGGTAGTTGAGTTGACCACTCTCATTTCCTCCCCCCTTGCTGCCTCTATATCAGAGGCAGTGGAGGAGGAGAGCGGTCTTAAAAGCCAGTTCCCCCCAGCACCATCTCTGCTATGCTTTTTGTCTCCCCCCACCCCGCCGCTGCCTCTATCAGAGGCAGCAGCATTGGATGGACAGGAAGCTGCTCCAGCAGCAGCCCCTGTCCGCAGGTGGTCCTAACTCCCTGCTGGGACCTCCAGCAGACAAGGGCTGCTGCTGGCTGGGCAAGGAGCCCAGCTCAGTCCTGGTTCATGCTGAGACCAAACCCCGCTGTGGCTCTGCAATTTAAGAGTCAGTAGGAGCCACGCAGACTGCCCCCCAACTCCTACTGCCTTTTAAATTGCAGAGCTGCAGCCAGGTTTGGTCCCGGACCACCGGGAGCAAGGACTGAGCAGGGTTGTCTGCCCACCCAGCTCCTAAATGTAATAGGAGCCAGGTAGGTAAGCAGCCCAGCTCAGTCTCTGCTCCCTCAAGGCTTGGGACCAAACACCTCTGCAACTTAAAACGCAGTAGGAGCTGGGTGGGGAGGGCAGGCTCCTACACCTTTAAATTGCAGAGCCGCAGTGGGGCTTGGTCCTGGCCCAAGCCAGCTGCCTTCCCTTATCGACTAATCAAATAGTCAGTAAAAATTCTATTGACTACTTGATTAGTAAAATAACCTCATTTTAATATCCCTAGTATGCAGATGCTCATGTGTTCACGACAGAGAAATTACATAATTTAACTAAAAAAAACTATTTAGAGAAGTTAGCTATGAATGAAGATCCTTCAGTTGCAAGAAGTTAGAGGAAAATAGATATTTATAGAAGAAAAAAAACCCGTAACACTCACTTTTGGCAAACTAACAACCTGGTAGGCTGCTCTGGCTGGTAAGACATTCCCACAGAAAACTACAATTTAAAAGAAAAATGGATGATTAGTTTAACTTTCCCTAAAATCACAGTTCAGAATTATCTATAACGATACAAATACACAGTAGGATGTTGACAGTTAAATAGGTATGAAACAAATTGCTGATTTTTGGCCTTATACAATTTCACTAATTTACTTCTGCATGAAGGAACAAAAATACATAGATCTGAGTCTCTGGTATGATGCAGCCACTGTTTATCACTGACATGGCATGGTCCTAAACACCAGCATAACTGCCCCAGCAAAGGTCTGTACAGCATTTGGGTGATCTTCTAGAGACAGAGTTGATGTGGGGGCTCTTACATTCAGATGAGCAAAGCAAAGGAGCCCTGGCCAAAGGAGGAGGAGTATGGCAAGTAGGGATGCTACAGGTTAACCAGATAACCAATAAGCATATACCTTACCAGCTAACTGGAGTCTCCCCTCCCTCCACAGTGGCCCAACCAGCAGGGGTTTGGCAGCCCCCCCACCCGCAGTTGTGGCAAGCAGAGGCTGGGGCTGCACTCACAGCTGGTTAACTATTCTGGGTGGCTTTTTCATTCCTAATGGCAAGGAGCCAGCCCTACGCAGCACCAGGGTCAACGGAGAGCACTCCTGGCAGTTTAACTGAATTCCATGATTAAATTCCTAGCTTGAGGATATCTAGCTAATAGTAAAAGATCTGAGTAAGGTATAATGCTGTGTGAATACAGCTGTTGTAGACAGTTTTTACCAGTGAGTTTTAATTCTATGATCAGCAGCTGATTAAAGGTCTTGTTATTGAATCAGGTTAATACATTACATTGCAAGAGCAAATATGTTAATGAATTACTGGTACATGGGCATGTGGTAATGAGTAACTAGCTATTGAACTGTTCTGCATGCTGTACCATGGAATTGCATTTTGACATACAAAAGAGAGACTACTTCAGAATCAGAAACAAGGCATGCCATGTGAGAAAATAGTTACTTGAAGCCAAAAGCTGCTCTTGATTGAAAATTCAGTCAACACGTATTTGGATTACATAGCTAAGTACTCAGGGTGCCATGTTCATGTTTTAAAATACAGAATTCTTAAAGGCTTAATCCAACATCTCAATGCACTCTAGATTTTACCACCTAACCCTTATTTTCTCAAACAAGAATGGTATCTCTCTATATATTAAAGACAACTTTTCCTGCATGACGATAGAGTGACATCAGCACATTGCTCTGCACTCCCCCGGACCAGCATCTGCCTGCCTCTGGGCCTCACCCCCCGCTTGCCTTGGTTCTGTGTGGCACAGACTCAGGCATGCTCTCCCAAGAGCTCCATGCCCACGTGCCTCCTCCATGTCTGCCTGCCTCTGGGCCTTGCCCCTTGTCTGCCAGGCCCATGTGGCCCAGCCTCAGGTGAGCTCTCCCAGGCCGGCAGCGAGCTGGGCAGGTTTTGCATTGTGGCCATTTCCCCAGCTCTCTGGAGCAGCCGCTCTGCAGTCTGGGCTCCCTAGGCTTGCCACCGAGCAAAGCTGCCCCAGCAGGCCCATGCAGAAAGGCTGGGCTGGGGGTGGGCTCCTGCTGCAGTGGTTGGGGCTGTGCTGCCTGATTCAGAGGTGCTCCTGGGAGGGAGGGGTGCAGCTCGACGAATTCATGGGAGGAAGGAAGGTGGGGGTTAGGCCAATATAGGAATGGAGGCAGGGGGATGGGTAGAGTCTGGCTGCAGAGGGGGAGGGGTTAAGGAAGGATGGGGGTGTAGGAATGGAGGAAGGAGGTCGGGGTAGAGACAGGCAGTGTGGGGTGGGGAGAGGGTGGGGTCAGGGAGAATGGTGAGTGCAGTAATGGAGGTAGGGGGATCAAACTGAAGTAGGTTGTGGACAGGGGGAGGAGGCAGAGCCCTGCCTAACCAGGGACAGATGGGGCGCTGGGTCTGGACTCGCCCTGCCTGACGGCTGCAGGGGGAAGGAGGAGGAAGAGGCAGGCTGGGGCTGCCATGCCCCAGCCCAGTCCTCCGCAGCAGCCAGGGAAGAGCTGGGGCTGCCTATCCCGAGTCCAGGGGTTGGTGAGCATAGCAAGCAGGGGGCACTGCACCCTAGTTATCTGTAATACAAGTACTAACCAGCCAGCATCCCACTGAAGAATTCAAATGATTGTTCCAAGATAGCAATAAATAAAAACTACACAACTCTGGACAACGCAGCAAATTATTAATCTGTAGGATGCCTACAACAGCATAACATTAGGGAAAATAAAATGTGCGTGTGCATGCAGAATTGTAAATTTGGCCCCATAAGTCCACCAATACAAAATGTCTGATTTTTACTAGTCTTTGTGGTGTTTAAGAGGCATACCATTTCACGCTCTGGTAAGCATCTAGACTATGCTCAAAGACTGCTAATTCTCATTTAGTACAAGACATGGTCCCCATCTCTCCTTTTGGATACACAGTCTTTCACGGATTCCAAGTTGTTGAGAGAGAGAGAAATCTAACAACATAAAATGTTCTTACTTACTATTCAACCACACTGAACTGAGATTTCTGTTCTGAGGGAGCCCCTCTTTACAAGTTTATATCACAGGCAATGTATTTGCACGTCTCAGAGTGGTATTGTAAGAAGAATTAGCTAAAGTTCAAAGTGGGATGCAAGGACTATTATTTTTTATCTTGTTGACTTTATAAACGCCAAATTTATGTACAGGGTGTTAGAATACCACAATGTTAGTGAGTACTTAATTTTGTTTCTGGATTTACAGTTGTCAAACTGGTAAAGACAGATGCCATATCAGCTAACTATCTGAGCGAGTTCCAGAGTGAAATTGTCCATTGTGATGCATCTGTTGTGGCAGTAAGTATACATTTCCAATTTCACCCACTTTTGGTAAAGCTGTACCCCTGTGGGGGATTCTACAAGCATAGAAGACATGTAAATTGGGAGATTGGCATCACTGAGGGATGAAGTAATATGGTAAGGATGTTAAATATCGGTTAATTGACTAGTCAAATAGACGATGGAACTAGTCGATAAGGCACTTCCACATTCCTCCTTTAAAATGTACAAGAGCCCCCGCAGTGCAGCATGGAGCATAGACTCAGAGTCCCCCGCTGACTCTGGTCTCCATGCTGCGCTGTGGATTTGAAATGCAGATTGAAGGCATTTCAGTGGAACCCAGGACCAGCTGTGGACTCTCCAGCTGACTCACCGGGATCAGCTGTGCAGCGCTGCCCGAACACCTCCTTGGCATTTCAAAGGGGCAGCCCTGCACAGCTGAGCCCGGGCTCAGCTGTGAGACGCTGTCTCTTTGAAGCATCCTCAGCCCTGCACAGCTGAGCCTGGGCTCAGCTGTGAGATGCTGCCTCTTTGAAGCATCCTCTTTTTCTCTCCCTTTGCTGCCTCTGATAAGGGGGGAATTGACTAGTCCTTAACATCCTTATAATATAGCAGCATCAGATAAATGCTGATACACCAAGTTTTGTGGCTCTGCTATAATGATACTATCATGTGCCCTATGATTTGTGTAACATGGGCTATGAATATGATTAAAATTCCATGCTTTTTTATATATGGGACTATTAAAAGCACAGTAAATGGAAAAAGGCAGAGATTAAAAAAAAATCTGAGTATGCTGTCAAAATAGATGGTCTCCTATTGAGTAATAAAACGGTACAAAATACTGCCAAAATGGAAATAAAACATCCACTTACACTGTTTGTAGCTTTCATTAATATCACTGAAATCCTTCATGTCAGCCATCAACACAGTAGTCTTTACAACTAAAAATTACATAAATGCAGCTATTATATATGTGGCATGAAAATCCCAGTGTATTCCTTTAATATTTCTTATTTAATTTTACCTCAAGTGACAAACCCCACCCATTCCAAACACTTACCTCTATTGTTAAAATAAAAATGAAGTTAGATCCACTCATACCAATTTATTACACTAGATAATGACATTTTAGAAACAGTACATGCTGAGCTTCAGGACACTTCACTACTGCTTTCATAAAGTTTTTTTTCCTAAGCACAGCATCAGGAATTTTCAAAGCATTACTTACAGACTCACTTCATGCTTTGAAGTTGAGATTTTCAATGACACCCACAGGAAATTAATGGGGACCGTGTATCCCTACAGCAGCTCTGAAAATCTTGGCACTGAAATTCTCATTTCTTCTATGAAACACACACCTGTTATTAAACCCCCAACCACTGCCTTTCCAAGGCTTTGTTTCTGCTATGATTTTGTTACTCTTTTAAGCTTCTCCCCCCTCCGCCCTTTCCACTGCTAATGTGAGTTTCAACTCCACTGTTATAACTTCCACTCCAATTAATATGATGAAGTGGGTTTTGTCCAAGAAAGCTCATGATCCCATATATTTTGGTTAGTCTCTACGGTGCCACAGGACCACTTGTTATAACATTAGGCTATGGCTACACTGGCGGCTTCTTGTGCAAGTATGGCCGTTATTGCGCAACAATCAGCAGCGCATCCACACTGCCCACCGGCTCTTGCACAAGAAGATTTACAGTATGGAGTGATAAGAGAGGGCTTCTTGCGCAAGAGCTATGCTCTTTATTAACAGGTGTAAGCCCTCTTGCAAAGGAGCTCTTGCGCAAGAGGGCAGTGTGGAGGCTCAGCAGGGATTTCTTGTGCAAGAAAGCCCTATGGTTAAAATGGCCATCAGAGCTTTCTTGCACAAGAGAGCGTCCACACTGCCATGGGCGCTTTTGCACACAAGCACGGCCTGCACATGGCAGTGTGGATATTTTATTGCGCAAGACTTCTTGCACAAGAACCCTTGTGCAAGATATTCTTGCGCAAGAAGCCGCCAGTGTAGACATAGCCCTGGTGTGGGCAGTAACTGGCACTGTAAGCCCCAGGTGTGGAATATACAAAGGTATTTAGGCACCTTGAAGCCAAAGGGAAATAGGCATCTAAATACCATTCTGAATCTCATCCCAGTTCCTTTAGACCAGCTCTGGGTTAGAGGACAAGATGATGAAAGTGCCAGCTGCACAGATGAGGCTGAAAACAATAGCATCACTAGCCAGTAGTTTGGGGCAAGTCAGCTAAGCATACACGTCTCAAATTAAAAAAAAAAAGTATTTCCCTGAGTTTCCCAGATATATTGGATTGTCTTTTTCAATTTTAAAATCCTTGGGCCTGGAATCATATTTTCTTTTCTATCACACAGCTATAATCACCAACTGCATATCTAACAAGACCCCCTTTAGAAAGTCACATTGTTTTCTTCTCTAAATTAAATTGGACATCTCTATTATGTAGGCACTCACCATTGGTGTAGTCACAGCCTGCAGCTTTCAGGATTTCCCCTATATTTTTTAGAGCCTATTGAAAAGAAAAGCAGTCTTGAGGTACTGACATTGTTAAGCTATGGCTTCTCTACATACCAGTACCTCAAACTGTAGCTATCAAAGTTTACTCCAGACAACCTCAGATAGCAGCCAACCTTTTCATTAGACAAGTGAAAAGAAAGGTAGGCTACAAATCATCTCACGTAGTGACTGTGCTTCCAGCAGGCCTTCTATTTTTATTCCTTGATTTAAATCAGAAAAAGCCACATACATAAGATGAAAAGTTCCCCACTGCAAAAGAACAAGGTCCAGAGGCAATGGCCTGACAAGTAAGCCATCTGGCCCTCCTAGCTGCTAGGATTTGTATTGAGATCCCCTTCCTGTGGTCTGGATCGAGGCTTAATCTTTGTCATAAGTGTCTAATGAATAACAAGGTAAGTGAGATAATATCTTTTATTGGACCAGCTTCTGCTGGTGGACGGGCTAAGCTTTTGAGCTTCAGAACTCTTCTTCAGAATACAATACTGAAAACAGTAAGTAATTGTCCAATTAAATTTAAAGCACATTTTTCCCCCCGATTCCGGAAATGAGGATTTCTCACTATTTTCCTCCTCACTCTTACATTATTTCTGGTGGGGACTGAGAAGGAGGCAAGGAGAGAGGAGGCATTTTCAGCTACTTTATCCCTCCCCACTGCTTCCTGGATTGCTATGTAGAATGATCTCCAACACTCCAGCCTTCATATTTGGGCTTCTCTGTTCTCGGTGAATAGATCTAGCGACTAAATACAGGCCAAATACTAAGTCACTCAAGTATTAAAATGTATTGTTAAGAGACTTATGATAACTTCTTACCTGTTTAGCCTCTTCTTTTGCCCCTCCAGGTACAAGCTGACCACTTCTAGGATCTATGCCTAGCTGTCCTGCGATATACATTGTCCGATCAATCAGTACTGCTTGACTGCAATATAAGCCATACATATATTTACAGCTCATCCCGAAAAATCTCATTTCCATCCAACCACTCAGAACTATACACTATTTTGAGCAAGCCCCTTGTGGAAATCAGGGACGTAAAATCCCATTTAATTAGTTAACTGGTTAAATGTTATGTTTAACCAGTTAAAGGTTAGTTAACTGGTTAAATGTTATGTTAAAGTAAATAGAGCAAGCGGGGATGCCACTCTAGCCCAGCTGGGCTGGAGCAGACACCTGCCCACCATGGCCCGGCCAGGCCAGCCTCCCCCTCCACTATGGACCGGGGCTGCCTGCAAGTCCTGTGAGGCTGAAGCAGCCCTCTACCTATGAAGGGCTCTACGTGGCTGGAGTCTTCGTGTCTCAGTTGAAAATGGCGATAATGCTTTCTTTGTCAGAAGTTTTGAGATCTATAAATGAAAAAGCATTATAAATGTTCTTACAGAGCTCGTGTCATGTATCGGCTTCCCACTCCCCCCTTCCCTGCCGATATAGAGGCAGCATTGGGTGGGTGGGTGTGTGTGCGTGCGCATGTAGTCATTATGGTTAACCAATAAGCCCAGACTTATTAGTTAATCAAGTAATTGCCTATATGCTAACATCTCTAATAGATACCAAAAATACAAATAAAATGACAAGCCACAGATTTACAAAAAAAAGTAGACTAAGCCCTGGCAGCTGATAGCTTTTTATTTTTTACTGGACATACCACCAAGGTTTTTGATTATTTAAAGCCACACGACTGCAATATGGAATTGTTAGGACTGGGTCATTCCAAAAAACACACAGACCATGGAAGACTTATGGGAGACTGGGTCATTCCAAAAAACACACAGAGCATGGAAGACTTCCCGCATTATTTTTATTATCAGATTGCATGGGCTTGCTAATGTTGGTGTCCTAGGAGCTTTAAAAAGACATGCTTTTAATATTCAACAGAAATCTAATACAGTAAATTAAATCCACATTTTTAGTCACTAGTTGGCCATTGCTTGACAAATCAGCATTAAGTTGATTACAGTCATGAATGCAAATTCTGCACACCTGCTCTCTGGCTTTATTGCTGAAGTGTGCTGATGGGATTTATGCTCTAGTCACAGCAAATTCAGCATATTTTGATTGCCACAGAATATAAGGCTGCTGGCACAGCACCCAGTTATTTCGGACAGCAAGCATGCAATTAAAGACTTCAAAGCCCACCGCAAAACATTATGTAAATGCCAAAAGATTTACTGAAAGAGGACTGCCCAGTAATAATGCTTGTATTCACTCTCATAAAGAGATTGAAAACAGAATTTCATAATGCAGGCAGATAAACCTATCATTACGCAGCCACAGGCACAATTAACATATATTCAGTGATAATTAAAAATAATGAATTTCCAATAATATTGTGGACATTTTCCTCATTGCAAAATATCTGCTGTCATTTCCCCATCTCCGTGTCTGTTCCCTTCCCACACCTCCCAAGGGGCCGAATTGTGTCTTTAGCCCAGATCACGAAGTCTTCATCTTCTCCTTCAAGTCCACCCTAAAGTCCCACTTCTCCTGCGAGGCTCACGGGCCGCCAGACTAAATGGGAAGTTCCTCCACCTTGTCCCCTGTGTTGCCGCGGCCCCCCCAGTAAGTTCTGCCTGGGCCAGTCTACGTTCCCTTCCCACACCTCCCAAGGGGCCGAATTGTGTCTTTAGCCCAGATCACGAAGTCTTCATCTTCTCCTTCAAGTCCACCCTAAAGTCCCACTTCTCCTGCGAGGCTCACGGGCCGCCAGACTAAATGGGAAGTTCCTCCACCTTGTCCCCTGTGTTGCCGCGGCCCCCCCAGTAAGTTCTGCCTGGGCCAGTCTACGGCCCCGC